GACAGAGCAGATTCTTGGGGATTGCTTCTATCTTCAAGGATCCTCATAATTGCCATCAATCTTCTAGAAGTCCTTACAAAACCAGCCAAAGTGATAACCTCAAGTAGAACCTTGCTGGTCCGGCCCAAATAGATGCTATGCAAAATAGGCCGTGACATTCTCCCCCACCTAATTCGGCAAAGCCCTCGTTGCCGTGAAAGTCTTGTGCTGGTCTGTGAGTTTCCATAGTTCATTCTCCGGCTCATATGTTGCTGCCTCTCGTCACCTTTTTCTCCATCTGTTCCCAAGAGTTCTTTAAACAAACCCGGGCAATGTCAGCATGATCATCCCATGTTCTGACCATCTTAACCACTTCTCGACTTCGTGACACGACCATCGGTGTGACCAAGGTCTGCTGAGTTAACTCCAATAGCCCCACAGGTTGTGTGGTTTCCCCTTTGTCTTGTTGACACAAAAGGCAAGTCTTCACCAACTCTATACCATTGGTATCAGGGTTTATTCCTTCCCAACCCTCACCCTTGGTCCATGTTAGACCGAGTCTCCTTGCTTCCTCATCAGATATAAAATTGTGGGTTGTGCTTGTGTCCACCGTCGCTTGTGTTGGGTTCCCATTATTGATGACTTCAACGTACATTAATCCCTTACTCGTTACTTTGGACACTGGAATTGTCCTTAAGGCATTGAGCAGTTGAAGATAACCCATCATCTCGACCTCTTCCTCCTGAGTTTCGGCCTCTCTTTGCTAAAGAAGAGCGGACAAAGAACCCAGTTTTGGGCACTCCCTTGATGGATGTGGTCCCTTGCACACATAACACCCGCTTCTCAGAACAAATGTGCGTTTCTTCGCCTCATACTCGTCACACCTCGAGTCTCTTCCCTGGTTATGAGTCTTAGACGGTGTTGCTTGGTCCTGCTTCTCCTCCTCCGAACGTTGATCCACCTTCTCTTTTCTCTTGAAGTTCTCTACCTGGTTTTCCTCATAAAAATCAGAAAGAGATTCGGCTGCGGCAATGGCTTCATCCACAGACCTCACCCCACGCCGCTGCAACTTCTGTTTAGCCCATCCTTGGAGCCCATCCACAAAATGAAACACCAAGTCTTGATAGGACAGATTTGGAATCTGTAATGAGAGAGTAGTGAAATCTTTGACATACGCTCGGTTTCTACCCCTCTGTCAAAGTTCCCTCAGCTTCCTCCTTGCCTCATAGACTACATTCTCCGGATAAAACGGTCGCTTAAGTTCCTTCTTCAACTCCTCCCACGTGTCCATCCGGCATGTGCCTCTTTCAATATCGCCAGGGCGCCTCCACCACCAAAGCATGACCGTATCCGTGAGGTAGGATGTGGCAGCCTTGATCTTTTCTAACTCATCGGTAAGACCAAGGTTATCAAAGAACTGCTCCATCTGCCATAGAAAGTTCTCAACTTCCTTACCAACCCTTGAGCCATCGAAACGTGAGGGTCTCGGGAAATCCACCCTTCCAGAGCCAGAGTTGTTGGTACCTCCATTGGCAACCGCCTTCTTGCACAATGTGAGATCTTCTTGCATCGCCTCGATGCTCACCTTCAACGACTGGACCGCCCCCATCACTATATCCTCCAACTTGGTGAATCGACCCTCAATCCTTCCCAAGTCATTCTTGACTTCCTCCACCTCGTTGAACACTGTGTTCTCGAGTTCAGAAGTCGAGTGTTTGACTCGCTCTAGTCGTTCACCCATATCGGTAATGGCTATGCTCATAGCCCCGACCTCGTCTTGAACCTTGCTCTTATCGCGCCTCCTCCTAGTTATGTTTGTGTCAAGGCCCTCCTGGTCCTCACCACCATTGTTTCCCCTGAAAACATCATCGGTGTTAGACATCGCTCAGCCCCTGAACGAAACTCGCTCAGATACCACGTGTCACGAACTTGATATTCGGGATCAAAACCGTGCGGCCCTAGCCTCTCTTTGCCCCAAAAAATAGACTAGGCACTCTGACTAACAAGAAAACCAGACCTTTTTGAGATAGAACTTGAAAAGAAGAAGGAAAATCTTTGTAATGCTCTCTTATTCAAAGAATGGATGAGTCATTAAAAATGAAGGATCCCACCCCTATTTATACAAAAAACACATCCAAGATGGATGCTGAGGATCAACTTAATCTAAGGTCCCATATTGAAGATATGGCCTTAACTACCAGATCTGCAACTAATGAGGACAAATTTGTAGGGATTTGAGAGGATTTGTATGGATTGATGGGTTGACTAAGCAGATTTTTGTGGATTGCTTCTATCTTCAAAGATCCTCATAATTGCCATCAATCTTCTAGAATTTCTTACAAAGCCAGCCAAAGTGATAACCTCAAGTAGAACCTTGCTGGTCCAGCCTAAATAGATGCTATGAAGAATGGGCTGTGACAACTGTCTTTCCTATAAAGACTTTCAAAACAAAATGTTGCAAACTTCATTTTGTTTCTCGGATCAAAGATACTAGCTATGATCAAAACCTATTGATTTCCTTCAACCCTTTCTAATACTTATCAAATTTATCTGTTATAGCTGTCGCCTTAATCCTCAGTGTTAAATTAGCATTGTTGCTAAAAAACCAGATTTCTTTCAATTGTAAAATCTCGCTGTAACACTTGTAAGTGCCTACTAAATTGGTAGCTGAACCAACTAAAGTAGCATTGTGAATATGATGAGAAACCTTAGTAACCTTTACACTGGATCCCAATCATTTGCTGTTTGAGGCGGATTTCATCAATATTTTCTTGGAAATAATCAGTATACAACCTGTCTTCTGCTTCCATTCTCTCCAAACCTGACTTAAAATTCATAACTCTTATCAGCATAACATATATTGGATTCCATCTGTTTTGGGAGTCCTAAGGCAAACTTTCCTTGTTATCTTTGCCGATTCAACTCTAAGATCAAAGGCATTGATTCTGTTAGTAGAAACTCTCATGTAGCCCACACCATTATGGATAGCAGATACACTCTTATCAACATCATGCAACTCATCTTTGACAACCAAGTTAATAATGTGAGCCACACTGTAGATTCATAAACTCACCTCCTAAGACTAACGATTCAACACGTATTGCACCAAAAAAAATTCCTAAAAATCATCAATGCGGATGTGTTTGCAGTTGCATTGTTAACTGTGATGGTGAAGACCTTCTCAATTCCACATACAACAAGACACTCAACCAATACTGAAGCTGTTATGGTCTGAGATGTTCTTAAAACATATTATCAATTTCTTCAACTTCCAAGTTGCATAAATAAAGTGTGCTGTGATAACCATGTAGCTAGCTCCAATAGGTGGAGAAACCCAAATATATATATTGTAAGAGAGACGCTTTTCTTACTCTTAGCAAACATCTTCTTCATAGCAGCTTTTTTGAAGTGTGGATGCTCTCCTAGATTGTGGCTTATATAAAGAACCCTATTGCAAAAATGTTTCCAAGTCAGTCTCTCTATGAATGCTAACGACAATTCATCCAGAACAAGCATCTCATTTGTTACTGCTTTAAAAACATCGAATGAAGCTCTTGACAAAACCAAGTTACCTTCTTCACCTTCTAGATTTAGAGTGGCTTGGGGTTGAGCTTTATCATCCAAACAGAGAAAGACTGGCAGATGCCAAGATGTTTATTCAAACTCAAAGTTCCAGACAATGTTGCAGAACACATAACCTTGCACAGTAAAGACATGAGCATTTATCCTCATCATCCATGGCTTTTGTAAAGTAATCCCACACCCATGACTTTGTGGAACTATTTTTCTTCTTCACCTTAATTCAACTACCAAAACTTGTTGGATTTTCTTTTCTTTTGCTTGTAGGACCATAGTCCCAATATCATATTCGGTTTCTTCTTTATTAGGACTCTCTGAAACTCACTTCCGTGTGTTGAGAAAGAATCCAACAGTAATGAAACAAAAATGTAAAACACTTAATCGATAATATTAGACAAGACAACTAATCAAAGAGCTTAGGAGAAATATCATAAAATCTCCAATTAGCCAGAACTAAGTATGTATTCATGTTGGACTGTCAAGAGATTGCCGAGAAAAGAGAAGAAAATGATAAAGAGAGGAGGAGAATAATCATAATCAAATATTCAAATCTCTAATGAAATCAGAAATCCCTAGTAAGCCATATTTAAATCCTTAATTGCCCAAAATCAAGAAACTGTCGAGAAAAAAAGGAAAAGGAAATGAGAAAGAAAGGAGAAGGAAAGAAGAAGAAGAGGAGAAAGAGAGAAGGAAGTTAACTGAGATGGGGGTGAAGGAGGTGAGTGAAGATGAGAGAGACACCATCAAACCTTGCCAGATTTCAAAATTGCTATTTACAAAAAAAAAAGAATTCTAACTGCAATAAATTTTTTAATACTTATTTTTTTTTGTCAAGTGATTCATTCATAAAAAGAAAGCTATTGGCCGAATGGGCAAGAGTTTGAAAGGCCTAACTTAGCCAAACTGTCTGCATTCATATTTGCAGAACGAGGAATTAAAGAGAAAGATAGAGAGTTGAAGAGAGAGACAAGGCTTCTAATATCCTGCAGAAGACCTGCAATCTTGTTCAAGACTGTCCCTGATTGCAGGGCGTTGATGAGGACACTAGAGTCTGAATTGATGCAAAGGTGGTGGATACCCGAGGCATGTGCCTTTCTGAGGGCTAACTGAAGTGCCAGGGCTTCCGCCATTAAAGCCGATCCCACAAAATCTCGATGCTCCGATCCTTGGGCTATCCTTTCTCTGGTTTCCAAAACGATCAGCCATCCCATGCCGCAGCATTTTGATTCTGCCTTCCAAGCGCCATCAGTAAAGCAGTTCGGGGAGGTTGTGGAAGTAGTATGGATCTGGGGGGTCAAGCGGGTCTTCTTGATCTCATGACTGATTGTAGCGCCTTCCCAATGTTTAGCATCTGAGATTGCTTTGGAGAGGGTATCACCAGCTGAGTATTCCTTACCTTCGAATAGAAATTGGTTACTGGCTGTCCAGAGATTCCAGAATATTCAGGGGGCTAGTGGTGCCATTATGAGCCCTGAGGGAAGGAGATTTATTGCTCTGCTTAAGCTTGTTAGGAGCTGTTTTGGGCTCAAAGGCAGAAAACTCAGGAGCGGGCCATGAGAGACTGGTGCCAATTCCCAGATTTGTTTTGCAAACGGGCATCTCCAGAGAATATGGCAGATTGATTCCGCTTCACTGCAGCATTTGCAGTTCAGATCCCATGACATTCCTCGATACGCTAGGAGTTCTCCCACCAGTAAAGCTTTGTTGAGAGCTCTCCAGAGGAATTGGTTTAGTTTGGGGGAGGTTTTGGCTTTCCAGACCTGGAACATCCAGTTGAAAGTTTGCTGCTCTCTTTGGTTCTTATCCTGAATAAAGCTGTGGTATCCCGTTTTTGCTGAGTAGATGCCCAATTCCTCTAGGAGCCAGACTTTGGAGTCAGCGGGTTTGAGAGAGCTTGGGATTAACTGTCGGATAGCTGCCTCATACTGAGGTAAGTGTTGTTGAATAGCTTGAATGTTCCATTCGTTTGAATGATGATCTAGTAGGTCCGAGACTCGGAGGTGGAGAGAGTATAGAGTGGAAGGGCATATCGGTGTTAAAGGGCTTGAAGTAGAGAGCCATGGATCTATCCAGACTTTGATCTCTTCGCCATTACCCACCAAGTATCCTAGTCCTATCTCCAGGACTTGCTTCCCTGCCATTATTCCTTGCCAGCCGTGTGAAGCGTTTTGCTTTGGAGAGCTCTCCATAAAGGAGCAAAGTGGGAAGTATTTCCCTTTTAGAACTTGAGCCAGGAGAGAATCTGGGGCTTTTAAGATTCTCCAACTTACTTTTGCCAGGAGGGCGTCGTTGAAAGTCACCACTTCTTGGAAGCCCAACCCTCCTTCTTGCTTTGGTTTAGTAATGTTGGTCCTTGCCACCCAGGCTATTTTGCGCTTGTCCGGGGCACTATCCCACCAAAAATGCAGAAGGACAGATTGTATGCGCTTGTAAAGAAAGTTAGGCAGTTTAAAGCAGGACATCGAGTATGTAGGAAGGGAAGATAACACTGATTGAAGAAGAACTTTCTTTCCTGCACCTGATAGGAACTTTGTCGGCCAACTATGAGAGCGTTGTTTGATTCTGTCAACCATCCCCGTGAAGACATCTTTCTTTCTTCTTCCCAAGGTTTCAGGTAATCCTAAATACTTTCCCATACCTCCTTCTTTTGCCATACCTAAGGATGCGCGAACTCTGTCTCTTATAGCAGGGGGTTTTATATGAGAAAGTGATAGTGGATTTGGTTAGGTTAATGCATTGTCCTGAGCTTTCCTCGTAGCGCTTCAGGATACTACTTAGCTCTTTAACACTTGCTTCGTTTGTTTTGCAGAAAGACCATATCATCTGCAAAAAGAAGGTGGTTAATATGTGGGCTTTTTCTCGACACTTGAAGCCCTTTTAGACTACCAGTATCTTGAACTTTCCTACATAGCCCCGAAAGTACTTCTGTGCAAAGGACGAAGAGATAAGAGGAAAGGGGGTCTCCCTCACGCAGAAATATCACGGGACACTTGCATATTCCGTGATATACAGGAGGAGTGGGATGAGTATGACACGCTATTCTACAATGCGTGGCTGGGAGTGAAGATTATCCCTACTCGGTTCGCAGATTTTTGCTGTTCTGCAGAAGATGGGTATCTTCGAGGAGGTTGTTCAGATTCTGGAGAGCATCGGGATGGGGACTATGCCGTTCCTCTAGAAGGGACTACAGAGCCTTGAGGTGCTCCATTGATGAGGAAGGAGTAGGAGACACTTGTGACAGATTCTATGATCCACTTGGTTCAAATGTCTGCAAAGCCAAATTTCTGGAGGATTCTTTCGAGGAAGGCCCATTCTATGCGGTCATAGGCCTTGCTCATGTCGGTCTTCACCACCATTGAACATCTCTTAGTTGCTCCGGAGCACTTGAGGTAGTGACGCGTTTCATAGGTGATAAGCATGTTATCTATGACTGCTCGTCCCGGCACAAAAGCAGATTGGTGTTTGGAGACTAGAGCGTCAAGAAGACTTTGGAGACGGTGAGTGAGGATCTGAGCAATGATCTTGTATCGGACATTACATAAAGCAATGGGCTGATATTCAGCTGCTGTCTTGGGGGATAGCCCTTTGGGAAGAAGGCAAACGTGTGTCTCGTTTAGATTCCGGGCCATCCTTGCAGTGGTGAAAAAGGTATGAATTTCTCGGCAAATGTCTTGGTCTATAGATTCCCAAAAAGATTGATAGAAACCAGCAGGGAAGCCGTCGGGACCCGGGGCTTTGTCTGCATTGATGTCAAAGATTGCTCTACGGATCTCCTTGTCATCTGGTATGCAGTAGAGATGTGAGTTCATATTCGTAGTGATAGGACAGGGGATTGTGTCATCTACGCCAGAGAGATGTTGGAGGCCGTTTGTTGTGAAGATTTTGTGGAAGTATTCCCTAAAAATTTTCTCTATATGTGATTCTTCATGGTAAGCCTCTACCTCTTCATCTTCAATCACCAATATTCTATTAACTGCTCGATGTCCTTTTTTGATCGCATGAAAATAACATGTATTGTGTTTTCCTTCTTTTAGCCATAATACTCTGCTTTTCTGTCTCCAGAATAATTCTTCGGCTTTGTAGGCCTGTTTTAGAGTGGCTGTTAGATCATTGATTAGTCTTATGTCCGGGAATTCAGCTGATAGAGCAGTCTCTAGTGCATCTTGGGAATCCTTGATTGCCTTGGCGCTGTTCTCTTTTTGCATTTTAGACCACTTGATAAGTTCCCTTCTGCATCTGTTTACTTTGATTTCCACTAACTCCGGCTTGTGTTTTTGCCATGCTTCTTCTATGACTTTACTGGCCTCCGCATTGTCATTGAGGCTTCTGTCATACCGTAAGGGTCTCTTCTTCTTCACTTTGGAAGTATCTAGGTAGGTGACGATGAGTCTGTGATCCGAGCCCTCAAAACGGAGGTAGTTACTTCGACTTGATGGGAACATCTCTGACCAAGCGAAGTTAGCCATTGCTTTGTCAAGGTGAGCCCTTATAAAGTAGGAGTTTCGGTTCTCTCTCTAAGAAAGTGGATTGTCTGAGTGTTTTAAATCCCACAGACCATTAACGAGACAAAACTTTGGAACGGGATGAAGGAGCCTTCACACCGTATGGGACCTCCCACTTTTTCCTCATTATCCAGGATTTCATTGAAGTCTCCTGTAAGCAGCCAAGCTGAGTCCTTTGACACACCTATGGAGGTAACATGATTCCAAAATGCTGAGGTACGCCGTAGATAAAATAGATGTGGAAAGATAAGGTTTTGTTTGTTACTCTTGTGTCAATTAGATTAGGAGAAGCTCCAAGGATGTTAGCGTGATGGAGTCATTCCAAAGCAGGATTAGCCCTCCGGTGAAACAATGTGGTGATGTTCGAACCCTAAAGAGTGGAGAGCATTCAGGACAGTCTCGTCTTGATTATTCGTTTCCATGAGAAACATGATATCCGGTACTTTAGTTTTTTTTTATTTCCCGGATCCTGTGAACTGTCAAGTCATTTCACAGTCCCTGACAGTTCCAACTCATAATTGCTAAGGAATCGGGTTTCGTGGAATCCAAAAATCCACTCAACCCTTTGAAGTTGCCGGTATTAACACAATTGCAGGCATATGATCCTTATTACAAGGTAAATCTTCGTGATCCACAAAATCTCCCAAAACTTTGCGGGGGTTATTAGGAGATGGAGTTATAAAGTTTTGATTGATTTTAAGAGTTGAGAGATTTGTTAAATTTTTTAAAAAGATTTGTTAAATTTGGAAAGAGTTTGTTTATTTAGAAAATATAAAAATAGTTTATTATAATGACTTTGAGAATCTAAGCCATATAGGTAATATTTTGAAAGTCATCCAAAATCTTGTTATATGAGTAAACTTGTTTAAAATCCATATTCTAATAACACAAGATTTTAATAGAATCATTAAATCTTTAAAAGTCAAACTTTTTGAACAACAAAATTTTTTTATGGAATTTTAAAATATTTAAGCTAATAACAATGAATTCTAGTAAGATTTTAAGAATTAATAAACACCTCTCCCAATGATGTGAGCATCAGTAGCAAACAAACCCTCTTAAACGTTGGAGGATATTCAACTACCAAACTGGAGCTAAGCTTGCTTGTAGCTGAGGAGAAGGAGGAGCTTGTAGCTGAAGGCAAAGGTGATAATGCTTCAAGTTCAAAACTCCATCGTCCTACACTTAAATAGGAGCTTGCTGATCGAGCTAAACCACCAAAGAAGATGCTGGACTAGATTAGATTAAAAGAGAACCAAGCCAAACCGCCAAAGTCACCAGATAACATGTTTGGACCTACATATGCATTATCAAGACCAATTAAGGAAAGCTCGACCTTATCTTATGTCAAGCCACATTATTTGGCCTCCCAAGAAGATAACAGAAGTACTAGACCAGCAAACCAAAGCAATAGCCGAGCTAAACCACTTCAAAACCAAAGAGAATCCACCAAAGAAGAAGTTTCCTTTTATAAATTCATTAACTTTACCTCCAAAGGAAACTATGACCAAATGCCACTTTCATCAACTCATCTCGACCCTCCATTCTCTCAAGATGATCCTGAACGTCCCTACAAGACAGAAGAGTCGAAGATTAACTCTATTTCGTCACCACCTATCCCCCTTTTTCCCATTATGATAATGGCTAGAAGATCAAATCAAGCCAAGACTAAAATCCCAAACTCTTTGCTTTTGTTTTAATTATTGTGACCGTTGCTTTTCATTAATCTCTACTCCATTGTATTTCATACTCAGAATATTCAAGAAATTAAAAGTCATTTTGTTTTGTTTACAAAGAAGTTTTTTGCATTCAAAGTTATTCCTGCGTTTTATACTAAGTTTCTTGAGGGATTCAGGAGCTTGTAAGAACATGTAGAATCTCCTAAGCTCTCGCGTGGATTAGCCCTTTAGTTAGAAGAGTCTAACCTTTGGTGTTTGGGGTCATCAAGCATCATTGACTACAAAATCAAAAGTCATTCCTCCACGACATTCATTTTGAAGCAACAGATTCTAAGGAGTAGTTTTAGTCCATTTCCAATCCTACATCATTCGTATCAGAGCTAAAAGCTCCTATCCCAGATGTTTATAATTCCTATCTTAAGTTTTTACAATTTGTTTCCTTCAGTTTTTGAAATTTGTTTCTTATAAATAAATAAAAAATCATAAAAAGTTGTTTATTGTTCATCTGTCTTCTGCGAATTTTATAAAAAATTTAAAAACTCATAAAACTATTTTGTTTCTTGCTTCTGATTTATTAAACTCTTAAAATCCACAAAATAAAATATTTCTTTTGAATTCTCGAATCAGTTGCTAATTTTTTAAACAGTTTTCTTCCAACTTGACAAAACTCCTTAATTACTTGTTCTTGTGTTTTATTAAATCAGAAAACCACATAAAAAGAATAATTTTTTTTCTTTCTACATATTTGATACATTTCCTTTGATCTTATTTGCTAGGAACGCTTGAAGAAAAGCAGAAGCATCAATGGAGTATTCAGATGAGGAGAGCCCTTATCAACCCTTCAATGACCAATGGAGTCAAGAAGAAGAGAGCCTTGCCTTTTTTGAAGAGGAGGCTGGCTATGAATTCCCACCATGGCCTGAGGACGAAATTGACTATGGTCATGATCTAGGCAGAGGA